TTGGATGTCTTATGTCATAATGGATATGACATCAATGGTAGAGTTATGTACTGAAGCTAATGCGGTATGTATACTAATAATATTTCTATTTTAAAATATTAAATAATTTACTTTTTAAAATAATAATTCTTACTTGTATTATAGTTCACAGTTAAAAGACAATACCATGGACAATAGTATTGTTCTAGATTCTTTGACTGCTGAGTGCAAAAAGGCTTTTACAATAGCTCGCCGTTTCGAACAGAATCTTGTGATCCATGTGGCTCGTGGTATTATGGGCAAGATTGAGTATGACTTGCACCTTGAAAGTGTGGAGATAATGCGTTTCTTAAGTATGGACACCATCGATGTTTCTCTAGTTCAGTCCTTTATAAGGTAATAATAAGTTCTTTATGATTATTTATGCATAATAGTTTTATATTTATATATTTGATTATTTATGTATAATTGGTTGTATTTGTGAATAGGGGTATTTACATCAGTTTTGAGTTGGCATCAAAAGACACTTATGGTTTCCTAGATCCATATTGGATTCAACCAAAAATGAATAATATAGAAGAAATGAAATCATATATAAATGCCACCATGCAGTATGGGAAGAAAAATGTATATTTAGCCCCATACGTTCTCAAGTAAGTTTTAATTACGTTTTAAATTAAAGAGCTTATATATAATATATTTTTATTATATATTATATTTACTTATTTACGTATAACTAATAAATTACTTATTTGTAGTGAGCATTGGATGCTGATGGCGATTTGTCCTAGATTAAATGAAATTTTTTGGTTTGATTCACTTGGTCATGGGCCGCGTGAAGACATTAAACATATAATGGAAACATATGTAAATTTATATAATGAATTAATAGTTATTATTAAAGTAGTGATGCCAAATATTTACATATATTTTATGTCTTATATGAATAGGTGTATAACTGCAACAAGCATGATGAGTGGAAAGAAACAATCTCGTCCAACGAAATGGACTACATGTTTGGTAAGTACTTCTTTCACTTTGTAAATCATGCAAACTTATTTTTTTTATTACTTTTTTTTATAATTTTATTGTAATTCAAATGTAGTGTGCTATACAAAAAGGAAGCACCGAATGTGGTTATTATGTGATGAAATTCATGTGGGAAATTGTTTCCAACAACCTAAGCAAAGGAATGGATAAGGCAAGTAATTTAATAATACATATTTCTTCTTCAAATGTTGTTTAAAATATTTGCTTATTTATTATTTTTTTTTTTGAAATAATGATACGACGTCAGCTATTGTGCTTAGCCGACGTCGTATAAATATATATTATTTAATTTAATGATACGACGTCGGCTAATAGCCAATTAGCCGACATCGTATCATTTTAAAAAAAAATTAAATACATACGACGTCGATTTTTGGGCTTAGCCGACGTCGTGTGTGTATATATATATATATATATATATATATATATATATATATATATATATATATATATAAAATAATGATACGACGTCGGCTAATTGGCTATTAGCCAACGTCGTATCATTATTTTTTAATTTTAAAATATGTACGACGTCGGTTAAATAACCGACGTCGTTTATTTTATTACAACGTCGCTTTAGTCGACGTCGTAGGATAGCCGAGGTTAAATGGGATAATTTAGCCGAAGTTAAAGTTATTTTCTGTAGTAGTGTTTGTTTTATTTGACTATTTCCTGGTACACATTTCCTTATGATTTTTAGTAGTGCCGAATAAGTCTTGGACAATTTTGAACTCCTGTGACATACTCATCACCACGGTCTGTACAAAGAACTTTGATTGGATAACCTTTTTCCCTCTCAACAAGCACTTTAAAGTTTTTAAAAGTGTTAAAAAGCTTCAGATTTTTCTTTCAAGAAATAAACCTAGAGTTTTATGCTAAAATAGTTAATGAAAGTAAGTAAGTATATGTTACCTCCATTTGAAAGTGGATTTATCGGCCCACAAATGTCGGAGTGCACAAATTCTAACACATTCTTCGCTCTCCAGGATGTTAGTTTAGGAAATTGCTTATGGTGTTGTTTGCTAATAACACACTCTTCACAGACTTGAGAGGGAATTAAAATTTGAAGAAGACCAAATACCATATTTTTCTATTGTAGAGTTCTCAACCCATCAAAGTTTAGGTGACCGTAGCGAAAATGCCGCAACCAGGCTACATCATCTAGCTTTGATGCGAAGCATGAATGAGAGGAATGGCGAAGATAAAGTGGAAACATACGATTTTCCGTCATTTTGACTCCAACAATCAAGCCAAAATTTCCATCTCGAATTTGACATTCTCCATTCTTGATCAGGAACTCATACCCCTATTCACCCAAAAAAAAAAAAAAAAAAAAAAAAAAAGATCTCATACCCCTTCTCTTGAAGTTGACCCAAGTTGAGAATGTTGATTTTTAGTTCCGGAACAAAAAGAACATTGGATATGGTGTGGGTAGAATTCTCTCTTGTTTGTAGAGACACCACCCCTTTACCCATAACTGCTATAGTGAAATTGTCACACTTGACAGTGTTACGGAAAGGCTCGTCCAAGGTGGTGAAGATTTCTTACCAGCAGAGTCTAAATACCACATGTTTTGATGAGTTTCTTCACTAGCCTGACATGCTAACAACAAATAAATTTCTTCTTTTTATACAAAATTAGTACTTTCCTCATTTTGTTTGTTCAAATTAGTACGACATTCTGATTTATAATACTTATGACATGTAACATTCAATATTTGACTTGTCTACTTATTTTGTTGAGTGATGGCCTCCTCTCCCACGACCTTTGTTAGCTCTACCTCTCCCACGACCTCTTCCTCAATTACCACTATTAGTTGTCTGAGACTTTTAAGGCTTGCTCAGCCTCATTATCATGATGATTCAACTTTCTTTCATGAACTAAAATAGAACTTTCTAGTTCGTTAGCGCGGACAACAAAATTGTCATAGATCGAAGTATTTTTTCAATGAAAACACTATCTTCGGCTTTGTCATCACCATGGATCCGCAATTTGTTGACTATTGGCATAGTCCTTGAATAAAATTCTGTGAAATTCTCGCCTTTTTTCATTCGGAGCGTTTCGAACTCTGATCGAAATTTCTGAAGCTGCAACCTCTTCGTCTTTTTCTTTCCATGTTATTTCTTCTTCAGAGAATCCCAAATGTCCTTAGAGGTATCCTTTTTAAGGATAGTTTCCAAAATAGTTTGGTCAATTGCTTGGAAGAGATGGTTCTTAGCTTTGAGATCTTTCAATTTCAACGCTGCCTTCTGAGTTTCAGACATCGCAGCGGATGATTTTGCTACTGCAGGTTCGAGGATCACCTCCCACAACTCTTTTGACCTCAGAAAGTTTTCCATCAACATATACTCCAATAATCATAGTGACCATCGAAGTGTGGAATTGTAGGTTGAACAAAGTTTTCTGTGCCATTTTGCTTGGGAGAAATAGTGGAAGATATGTAGCTCTCACTCACTTGTGTTTCACTCACTCACTGGTGGTGGCTGTGATACCACTGTTAAATAATAAATGAAATGATTGCAAGAAAAACGCTCTTGATTATTGCTTTAGAACTTTAGCCTTAAATAGGTCATACAAGAACATAATATAGCTAAACAGAAGCAAATAAAAAAACTCCTACAATAAAGGAGAGGCAATACATGTGCTAGGGTAAAACATAAAACTAGTACAATTGTAGAAATAATCTTACTGACTTAATTTATTCAACATAATTTATCTAAAGAACTTTTAACATTACATCCAAATTTAAATTATTTTGCAAAGCCCCTTGAGGGAATTCATCTATAAATATAATAAATCTATAACTAATAAACAACATAGGTGAACACACTACATCCGACTTCATCTTTGAAGGCCGCTATTTGGAAACTTACAGGTCGTTTGGTTCACGGAATGAATTTTGAGGGAATAGGAATGCTATTCCATAGGGAATAGAATAAGTACGGAATAGAATATGAATTGTATTCTGTTGTTTGGTTCGCTAAAGGAATAGACATTGGGAACTGTATTCCAATGTTTGGTTGGTTAAGGAATAGGAATAGAATATATGTTTAAAAGACATAAATGCCCTTGTACAAAAACTATTATTATTATTATTATTATTATTATTATTATTATTCACTTTCGTAACTAACTCTCTCATGTATATCTTCTTCAATATTTATGGCCAAAGCTGGTGGTGGACTCTCTTTGATACAAATCTCATTCTTTACGTCAACCACACTCCTTAACCCACCCACTCCCCTCGCCAATGGACTCTCCGGTCAACAACTCGCCCCCCACTCTCCAGTTCCCAGTCGACGTTCCCTGCACCGCCGATCATCATAATCATCATCGCAAGAGAATTCATGAATATGTAATATATATTACTGCTGCGGCGGCATCGAGCGTTCCCAGGTTACGTCGAAGACGGGTTTGACGGTGCTCCAGACGTTCGATCATGGTTTGGCTGGCATGGATGGTGTCGAGGATGTGGTGCGATCGTCCGCAACAGCTTTGATTTCTGATCGGCCACCGGCGAGTTTCTCGGGACGGTGCGCACATGGCGAATTTCCGGCGAAAACAAGCGGCTAACAATGAAAAGTTTTTGTTTTAATTTTTTAATTTTTTTTTTGTTATATATATATATATATATATATATATATATATATATATATATATATATAATTTGTAGAAAATAAAGTTTAGAAAAATACATTTATTTTAAACAAGAATTCCAATTTGATGCAAATGGGGGAAGATCCAGAGATACAGTGAGAAAGAAAGAAAGATAATTCAAAAGTTTATTTTAAACAAAGGGTAAAAAAGTAAATACCAGGGGGTCCTGGTAATAGCTATTACCTTATTTGAGGTAATAGGCTATTACTAGGAATACTAAGCCTGGTAATAGACATAGTTACCAAACACAGGAATATGTCTATTACTGGGAATGTTATGCCATTCTCAGCCTATTCCATGAACCAAACAGGCCGTTAGAGAGTATATATATTTCTTTGTTTCACTTCCAAGCTTACTTCACTTTTGTTACAGTGTTGAAGCTCAACAGCAACCTGGCCCTGCAAATACCGACCGAATTAGGAATGAATTAGAAGTTCCTACTCCCTCCGTCTCTAAAAAAATTTCCTCCTTTTTATATTAAATGTATCAAAAAATTATTTATTTACATATATAAATACAATAATATTTGTTATTTCATTGTCCAAAATACTTTTCCAAAGCTATGAGAAGATAATTTAATTTTTATATAATGGACCAAGGTCCACTATGCACATTTTGAACCATATCCAAATTATGTGTTACCAGATTATTTACTGTCAGTTAAGTATGTATTACAATACGCGTTTACATATTATGCACATCCAGTTTATTTATAAGTATATAAACACGGAATATATATTTACATGTATATTATCTATTATCAAAAAATAAAAAATACATAATCTAAATATCATTTTGGATCAGGGTGACCCAAGTATACTTCACCTGATACAAAATAAGTAATCCCTTAAATTAGCTCTTTGAGAAATTTTTTTTTTAATTATTATTGAGAAAATGCATGCAGGGAGGAGGAAAAAAAAAAAAAAACTCTTCTTGCAAGGAGCTTTTTTTTTTTTTTCCTTTTTTTTTTTCAATATTTGAAGAGGGAAAAAAAAAAAAAAAAAAAAAAAAAAGGACTAGCTGGCGGCCTTGCACGCACCGTGAAACAGCCATTGACAGTTTCTTTTATTTCTTTTTTTTTTTTTTCTGTTCATTTTATTTTTAAATGACATTTTTTCCATTTGAATTATACGATTATAATGTTTAATTACATTATCAGGTATTATATTCATAATACTTATCCTATATATATGTTCACAAACATAAAGTTTAATTTACATAAACAATAAATTATATGTGCATCATATATATATATATATATATATATATATATATATATATATATTTCATTTACTGCATGTATATTAAGTTCATATTTATGTGTATGTTAATGAAAATGAAGTTAAATGTTTATCAAATTACATTACATATGCATCATGTTTAATAGCATTTATTATTTACTATGTCAATAATATTTGTTTTATATATATATATATATATATATATATATATATATATATATATATATATGATCATAAATATAAACTTTAATGTAAATAAACACTAAACTGCATATACATCATATTTATTTATATTTACTTTGTAGCAAGTTCATAATGTTTCTATATGTCCATACACATAAAGCTTAATGTATAAACATTATATGAGAAAATTTCAATTTTGATCCACTGACTATTGGGGTTGTGTTAATTGCAATACTTGACTTTCAAAAATGTTAATTAAGTACCTTGACTATGCAATTTCTTTCAATTTTGGTCACTCTGGCCAAATTACCGATTAAATCTCACCGGAAATTTTTAATAGGTCAAATAATGAGGGCTTTTTTAGTCATTTTACTTTTTTCCCTTTCTTCCCCGGCGAGCAACTCCATTTCCGGCGAGCCATATGGTTGAACTCCTCAACACTAACAAGAGCAACGCCATGTTTTGCTTGCTGGTTTTAATGTGCTTTGCCAGTATGTGTCATTCATCCCATGTTTTGCTTGCTGGTTTTAGTATCCTGAATTTCTGGCCCAAAGCAAGATAGATATATTATATTCATCTGAGCATGGAAATTAGAGAGCAGAAATGGTGTTCGTCGCAAGGAATGGTGAGGCCACTGTCATGGTTAAAGCCGAACGTAACTCTTCTTCGGCTTGGTGAAGCAAGGTCTGGAATTGATGGTGGGAGAGCCAAGAAATGGGGATAATATATCTGCTGCGGTGTTGTCCGACGTAGACGACGAAGTGGCCTTTTGGGACATCGTCGTAGCCGCCGCTGCAGTGCTGTTGTTTCCTGCCGGGCACTAAATCGGGGAAATGGAAAGGGAAAAAGTAAATTTATGTAAATTTCCGGTGCTGTTGTTTATGTAAATTTACATAAATTTATTTCTTCTTCTTTAAATTTAAATCGGGCCTTTCTTGTTAGTGTTAAGGAGTTCAACCATATGGCTCGCCGGAAATTGAGTTGCTAGCTGGAAATGGAGTTGCTCGCCGGGGAAGAAAGGGAAAAAGTAAAATGATCAAAAAAGTTCTCATTATTTGACCTATTAAAAATTTTCGGTGAGATTTGACCGGTAATTTGGCCGGAGTGACCAAAATTGAAAGAAATTGCATAGTCAAGGTACTTAATTAACATTTTTGAAAGTCAAGTGTTGCAATTAACATAACCCCAATAGTCTATGGACCAAAATTGAAATTTTCTCAACATTATACTAAAGTAATGACTTTATGTACAGATAAATTTATTTTTAATATAAAATTAAAATAAATATGTCAATATATAGGTGTCATTTAAAAAGATTCAATTAGAACATTTTAGGGATATTATTTTATACATTAATTTTATTTGTACAAAAAGAAAAAAGAGAAAAATAAATTTATATATGTTGGACAGAAAAATAATGAACCTTATGGATATAAATAATAAACATTTAAAATATTTTTATACTATTTCTATACATTCAAATAATGAACATTACGTGTAAAAATAATGTATTTTATATATAAAAATAATTTACCTTATAAGTAGAAAATAATGTAATTTATGCATAAAATGATATACTGTTATCTATGTATGGTCCACCTAATAAGCATTGCAAAATGGTTGACATACCTCGTGGTGATGGATGGCCTGGAACCCGCGAGGGTGGTGAAACCGGACGCCATTGTAAGAGGCTTCTTAAATAAGGGGTGGTTGGTGGGACTGAAGTACTTTTTCCTCCTACACCAATTTAAATTTATTACTCTCTTTGTCTCATTTTGCTTGTTTTGTTCATTATTTATTGATTAAATTAATTATTTTTATTATATATAATTTTAAATTTTATATATTAATACTAAATTTAATATGAAATGAAAAATTGAATTAAAAATTACCAATCAAATCTCGTTAATCGAATCAAACAAATAGAATGGGATGGAGAGATTATTACGTAAGATTCTTCAAAAACTAACTAGTAAAAAACGCATAAAATAAATTATTTATTTAAAAGATGAATTTCAAAGAGATGGAAAATTGGGCATTGATGTGAGCCTCCTCTTCTACTTTTTGCTTATATTAATTTTTTTTATGCAAGGAGTTGGGGAAGCGCAATTCATTACCATATTAGAAAATTCCTCGGTGTAAAAAATTATGTCTATTGTTAATATATTATACATTTTAAGTTAATAAATTATTATGATGTGTCTGTAAATAAATTGAAAGTATATAATTTGTTAATTACATGTATATAATATGTTAATTGTATATTATGTGTCAGTTAATATATTTTGTGCCTTCAATTTATTTATAGGCACATATTGTAGACACATGATATGAATGTCATTTTTAATCATGATCCACAATGCAAGGTGGACCATGATACATGACATAATTTGACCTTAGAGGTCCCAACTTGCATGTCCACTTTAATAATACTACCTATAATTATCTTCTTATTCCCATTTTTGACATGACAACATTGGACTAAGAATTAAAAAACAAAAATATAACCCTATATTTATATTTAATTTCTTTGTTGTCTCCATTTTTAGATGTCACTTCGCTAAGAAATAGGAAATGACTCGAGAATGAGACAAGAAATTTCTTAGTAGTTACAACGTTTGAATAATATATTTACATACATATAGACGAAGATGCACGATGTATACATCATTTGTTAGAAATAAATCAAAGGCTGAAATACTAATAGTGATTATAGACTATACATGCGATGTTTATTAATTATGTTGCCTTCAATAATTTATTTAATTTTAAATAAAATGTTCAAATTAATTAGTCACCGTATTACATTCGGGAGTACAATTGAGCCATCCAACTCAAAAAGAAATACAATTAGATTCATGAACTGTCCAAGAAAAATTTCTTCCTTTCCCGCCGGAGACGAAGATGGGGAGGATGTGGCGTTTTTTCCTTTTTTTTTTTTGTTTTTTTTTTTTGTTTTAAATTTTATTCTTTTATTTATAAATTTTAAAAAATAATTTTTTAATAGGATAATTGCCTCATCAACGATCATTAGAGGAACAATTCAAATTTGATCAAATTGCATAATTTTAGATAATCTAGGAATGTAATTGTACTTTCTTTTTAGTCATTGGATGGTACAATTGCATTTAAGCTTGTAGTTGGATGGCTAATTTGAACATTTTTTTTTCCTTTATTTTAAGGTCCAAACGCCTCCAACAAGCCAAAGATCATTTGTTAAAATTATTCAAAGGACAAAAGGAAATGAAAGATTTTGAGTTCAGTAGTGCTTACCCTCAACTGCAGCATAGAGTCTCCTAGACGTGGCATCGGTAGTGCTGAAGCAGAGAAAGGCAGTGATGAGGAGAAGTGAGAAAATTAGAGAAAAGTTCTTAAAGCTAACCATTGTTTTTTGTATAATTAGCTGTGGGAAGAAGAATATATATATGGTGTTGGATATGGGCACCATGCAACTTCACCTCCTTTTTATACTAGGAGAAAGAACTAAGCCACTTTTTGGTATGCAAAATGTAAAAATTAGTTAAAAATTAAATGGGAAGGGATTAAGTTCAAATTTGATTAGTCGTCCATCCAAGAATATTGGGTTACAACTTTTCTTACGAGAAACAAGAAATTTCTTAGCGCTCACCAGTCACCACGTTTGAATAATTTACAAACACTTATATTCTAATATGCACCTTGTTCTTAGATGGCATTTAGTGATTTTTTCTGTGTAGGAGGTCAAGAGACCGAGTCTCAATATATAGAGGCGTTGTTGACTCACAATGTAATAGAGTCAATAGCATTCAAAATTTAAAAAAAAAAAAAAATACACCAATATGCACAATGCATACAAACTAAATAAATAAATAATGAAGATTAGAATAATATTGATACGTTGCTACGTTTAATTCTCTTGTTGGTGAAGTTAATTAAACAGTTAAATGAGTTTTTTTTTTTTTTTTTTTTTTTGCAACTTAAATATATTTCTTTTTTAATGTAGGATGGATTTGACCAATTCATGATAATTATTTATTTTTATTTTTTTTGGTAAGGGATTCATGATAATTAATGAATAAAAAGAAAATGGGAAAATCAACGATTTGGTCCCTCAATTCTTAGCGAAATATCAATGTAGTCCCTTAATCGCGAAATCATTGATTTAGTCCCTGGAAATAACTATTTTTAGTTGATTTGGCCCCTCCGACCGTTCCCCGTTGAAAATCCGGCGAGAGCTCCGATTTGCCATGGGCAATTTGGTCTTTTCACCACATATTCTTCCTCCACCGACCCTTTAATCCGAGCTACTGTTGATAACCACGTCGCATGGTCTCAGTCCGTCCAGTCGCCGACCAGAAACGACTTCGCAGGCTTGCAGTCCGTCTAGTCGCCGACCACTTCCTCAGTTCATCCAATTGCAGTCTCCGACTACAGTCAGGTACCTATAGTTATTTTCTTGCTTTGTAATTTATTTTATTTTCATTGTAGGATTGCGCTTCTCCGAGCTCTTGCTTTTGAAATCCAGGCATCCGGTCATGGTTTCGTGTCCCGTTTTGGCCTGTTCAAAGGTATAGGCTTTTGGTGTTTTCTTGCCGAACGGCAATGCAGTTTCTTTCAGACATTGTCACAAACACTTGGAAGACACTTTTCCAGCGAAGAATTTACACACCAACGCATGCTTAAAGCTCAGCAAGACCCATTTGAGTTCTTTTCTGACATTACTGAAACCGTCTGAACGTTTTTCTTTACTGCCATTGAAATGCTCCAGTTCACACTCAACTGCAAAGACTGATGATGGGATCATGTTCAGGAATAGCCTGAGAAATCTCTCGGTGGAATTGATAAAATCAAACATTTCTGAGCTGACCCCGTTCTTGAATAGCCTGAGAAATCACTCTGTGCAATTGATAAAATCAAACTTTTCTCAACTGACCTTATTCTTGAAAAGCCTGAAAGATCTCTCAGCGGAATTGATAAAATCAAACTTTTCTCAGCTGACCCCCTTTGACTTGTGCAAGTGGTGATTGCAATTGCAATTGCAATTGTAGTGCCAAAGTGGATTGTAAATGTAGAGTTCAATCCATTCTTCTGGATGTATTTTATCTGGAGTTGGCTGTTCTGGCCATGGATGGCGGGGATTGGGATTGCTGCATATGGGTTCTATTACCTTAACAAACATTTGCATCGGATGAAGAATATGTGGTGAAAAGACCAAATTGCCCATGGCAAATCGGAGCTCTCGCCGGATTTTCAACGGAGAACGGTCGGAGGGGCTAAATCAACTAAAAATAGTTATTTCCAGGGACTAAATCGATGATTTCGCGATTAAGGGACTACATTGATATTTCGCTAACAATTGAGGGACTAAATCGTTGATTTCCCAAAGAAAATTTATTGGCATATTAGATTGTGAAAAAAATATAGTTTCTATTAAAGTTTTAACTATATGTTATTTGTAGTATATCAAAAAATGATGTAATTGGCTCGGTGTGAAATCAAAGAAATTGGCAATGTGGACTTGTGGAATAATGGGGATGAAATATAGTGTCAAGTTGGGGGTTTTCCACGTTGTATGACTTTTATACTTTGAAAAATCAACTGTGAAAGTGAAAGTTTCGCATCAAAATATTGATATAAAATACTTTTGGGCTACGCAAATTATGCCCTGGAAACGTGTTCACCATGAATGGTGAACACAGGTTCAAATGGTACCGTTTTTACGATATTTTTTTTTTTATATATAGCTAATGTGATGTTAACGGTGCGCGTTTGGTCAAATTATGAATTTTCTGTTATGAGATTATGAATGTACTGTAAATTCATAATCTCATAACAGAAAATTCATAATCGCATAAAAGAAAAACATTTATTAAATTATGAATTTTCTGTTATGAAATTATGAATTTACAGCTATGTAATTATGAATTTTCTTTAAATTCATAATCTCATAACAGAAAATTCATAATCGCATAAAAGAAAATTCATAATTTCATAACTGCACATTCATAAATTCATGCAATTATGAATGTGCAGGCATGGATTTATGAATGTGCAATTATGAAATTATGAAGTTTCTTTTTATGAGATTATGTTGAAGAAGCTTGCGCGAAGAGAAATTGAAACCGCAAAATGTGAAAATGAAGAAGAAAAGTCACGCGGTTAATTAAGAAAAAAAAAATAACGATGCACTGTTACCGTTAGGACCGTGTTCACCATGGATGGTGAACACGGTTCCATGGCATAACGATTGTTTGGGCTAGAGGTGGGTTTGATCATTTTGGGCTATTGATACTATATAGGAGTAGTTATGTTGTGCATCCGTATGCACCATGCATGGTGCATACGGATGCAAAAACGACGTCGTTTTATTAAAAACGCGCGTCTTCCATTTAAAAAAAAAAATCAGGTTCGATTCCTAGCAACAACATTATGTTGTTCATTCATTATGGAATTTTAGTTCATAGATTATGGAATTATAGTTCATCGATTCTGAAATCGTAGTTCATCGATTCTGAAATTTTAGTTCATTCATTCTGGAATTTTTAGTTCATAGATTAGATTCTGGAATTTTAGTTCATAGATTCTGGAATTTTAGTTCATCGATTCTGGAATTTTAGTTCATCGATTTTGAAATTTTAGTTCATATGTTGGTGCTGGGAATCGAACCTGTTTTTTTTTTTTTTTTTTAAGGGGAGACGCGCGTTTTTAATAAAACGATGTCATTTTTGCATCCGTATGCACCATGTATGGTGCATACGGATGCACAGCATAATTTGCCACTATATAGAGGTAATATTTTTATATCAAATGTATTGAATCATTTTTTTTTTTTGTACGGGTAATGAAACACATCATTTTCTAATACTGCATGTTAAATGCATACGTGTTCAAGTTTGTTTGAAAAAGACCCTTTAAAAAGTAGACATAAAAAATCCAAATCATCATGCTAAAAAAGTCATTTTGACTGTAAATTTGAGTAATGTGTGTATTTAATGAATATATTTTATTTAAAATTTATAGATATGAAAATTTCTGTATCATTTACTGCGGTATTTTATGTATATAACCAATGTATAGCTATATTTATTAAATGTGTGGAATAAAATATTCTGCATTTATATGTAAAAAAAAATCATAGAAATAATAGGTAACATAAAAAAGATTTCATCATACGCCACCAAAATACATTTTTGCCAAAGTGTAAATGATTATAGAGAAAATTGTAATGTATGTCACTTTATAATATGTCAATTATCAATATTACCTCTGAATTATTAGTTTTGTAAATGTTGCACTTCAATTTTAAAAATAGCCCTCCGATACCGTACGGAAGGGACAATATATGTGCCGTTTTAAAAATTGAGGGACAATATTTACACCACTAATAATTCAGTGGTGATATTGATAATTGATATATTATGGAGGGGCATATAAATATAATTTTTCCATGATTATATTTTCAAATACATTGCATAGCATAGTGTAATGACATAGAAGTAAAAAAAAAAAAAAAAAAAAAAAAAAAACCGGGATGCAATGTAGAAAAACAAATCAACATTTCAATAACACAGTATAATAATAAAAAAAATTTTAAAAAAGGAGGGGATGTAAAAATGATTTTTTTTTAATAATTACATAATGAACCAAATGAGATATCGACTATGTTTGGCAAACCTAGTTGAGAAGGGAGCTGAAAACTGAAAAGTTATAAGTTAGAAACTCAAAACTGAAAAGCTGTTAAACTAGTTGTTTGGTAAAGTTAGCTTTTTAATAAGATGATAAATGTAAAAAGACATATATATCAAAGTCACACCCTGCCATAACATTGAAATTCCTTAATTTCCTTTCTCCCTCTATATCGCAATTGATCAACCTCAGGGATGCACGCTGCTATATGACTAATATGAGTATCATCAATACATCAAATACAATCCTAAGTCCTAAATAATAATAATAATAATAATAATAATAATAATAATATAGCACAAGAGAAAACGCCAAAATAGTTTTAATTGAGAGGGATAAAGGATGTAATTTATTTAAAATAATAAGGATAAAGATTGAAAAGAAGTTAGGAAGCTATTAGCTTATTTTGGGAATATTATCAAACATAACTTAACTTATTAGTAATTAAAAATAAGGTATAAGTTCCTAAATAAGATCTGTCAAACAAAACCATAATTTAAGGAATCAAATTTGCAATGATTATGAGATATAACATAGGCTCTAAATATCAAGATAGGCATGTTTGCAGAGTGCGAGTATTGGTGAAAGCAAAAAACTTGTTCAATGGGGTAAAAAATTAATACTCTAGTTTCTAACAAACAGTAGCATTCAACAAACTCTCAAAATCTCTCATTATCTGTAGAGCATCATTGAATTCAACAGTCTTTTTCATCTTCTCCAATGCGATTCTGGCCGCTTCTCTTTCTCTCTGTCTTTGGATTTTGACCTCGCGATCAGTCTTTGTTCTCATCCGTAAAAGTGTTTGGGCAGCTTTGATTTCTTGTTCAATCCTGGCTTTCTCTGCAATCTCCAGTCTCTCTTTTTCTTCTTGTTCTTTCAGTGGGTTAGCATTATCTCCTTCTTCTTGATAATTTGCTTTGAAAATTAGATGTGCATAACGTTTCTTCATCAGCGCAACACGTAGAGCCTTAGTTGGAGAAAGCTGAGGAGTAGTAAGTGAAGTAGTAGTGTGAATCGCCGGGAGAACCCTTCCGCAGTCTTCCCTAATATTCCGCCGCCTCTTTTCTTTTCCGGCATCTACTTCAAAATCATCAAATCCACGCTTCTTGGATTCAGGCTTTTTGTTTCCATTCCTCGTCATCTCCAAACCCTCGTCTCTTTTCTTATTTCCTTGCATGGAGATTCTGATCTTCAAATTTCCTATCGTCATTGCTGGGAAATCAACCCCGAAACAAATCCAAAGAAAAACTCAGACTCAGGCTCAGAGAGAAAGTGATCGAAATAAATGATCAGAGAGAAAGTGATCGAAGGAAATGATCAGAGAGAAAGTGATCGCGGCTACCGTTAAGAAGAGAGTTACAACAAAGAGCGGGAAGCATATCGAGTAACTAAGAGCACCGCCTCCCTCACAACTCAAATATAATAATTAGGAAATAACAGGCTGTTAATTATTTATTACACCTAAATAATACTCAAAAAATAAAATGTTCATTAAATTTGGATAGGTCTAATATTACATCTAGATTTTGGATTACGTAATCCTTCATTTAACAGATTTATTTAAAATATTACTTCTTTCCCAATTTAATTTAAGTAAATTATTAAATAACCCCAAAATAACGTATTTCATATTTTAAAATTAATTTTTGATTGTTTCCTCAATCCAATCCCACTTTCCTTTTGATTGATATAAACAAATTTATTTTTTTAACCACCTAGGAATGATCAAGATCCCTCAAAATTTCATCAACGTAATTTGTAAACCATGTAATCTTATCTCGGTATGATCTCACTCGAAAAAAGTATAGTCGGAAGAAGAATATTCGAAAGAATAAGATATCAGAAAGAGATGAGTCAAAAAGAAGTGTTTTTAGAAAAATTTACCAAGATACACTTCCTAAACAACTTTGTTTGAGTCAACTTTTATATATATGATTGGCACACACCGCATATAAAATGGAAAAAAAAAAAAAAGATTTATCAACCTCGGAAGGAGTTCATTTGGCAAATGATAAAAAGAATTGTTAGACACCTTCCAAGTTAAAACCAGTCCATATTAGAGACGAATTGGTGATAAACAACAAAGAGACTTTTTGGACCAAAGTGTGCTTATTACACAAATACGGAAACGGTCTTACCCAACTATGGTTCATGGCATCACAAATCAAGTATTTGATTGGGAAATGCGGTATCTTTTTTATAGCTACCACTTGTTAAGTGACAATGCATGCACAAATTTGAATTCATAATGCCGCTCAATCTATGTCGTCTATATAAAAAGGACCCCATGCTTACAAGAAAATGCTTCTTGAACAACTTCCTAATTATCTCTATGCAAATTAAAAATGCTTTCAAGTGTCATTTTTTATTCTAAGCATAAAATAATCCAGATTCTTAAGTCCAACCCCAAACTTAATCATCACTTTCTTTGGAGGACATTGAAAGATCATCTAGTAATGCGACTTGTATTTGAAACGCCTGAATTATTAATATATAATGGTACTTAATGTAAAAAGTTCATAATTATACTTTTGTAACACACTTACATATTTCTTAATCCCTAACAGTAATACCTTTCTGCAATGAAGTATTTGCAGGGAATATAACTTCACTTCCACATTAATTAGCTTTTAAAAACCTTTTTACCTATTTTAAAGGGAATGTGATAACTTTCCCTCTCTTAGGTCTTTTTAGATTATCTTACCCTTTTTTTCTTTTAAATTATGGTACCATGTCGTATAGGTTTTATCTTTAACGTTTCCAGCCTTAATTTGGATGTTTATTGAAATACATAAAAATAAAGTAAAGGTATTAAAATAAAATAATCACTATAACATAAAATATAACTCTCAACTAAACATGTTTGTATTATATATATACCATCAACATTAGGAAAATACACCACAAAAACACACACAAATTAGGTACGCATCACCAAAAACACACCATTAGGTGTGCTTAAAAACATCATATAGTGTTCGGAAATACACCATTGGAGGTCGTGAGTTATATGGTGTATTTTTAAGGTCTGTTGTGTATTTTTTGGTGTTTTTTTGCATTTCATTGTGGTGTGTTTCCCTTACACTGTTGGAGTGTTGGTGCATGTTGTTAACACTATTGGTGTATTCTGAAATTCCGTCGCGCCGCCGCATTTGAAATTTCTTATATATATATATATATATATATATATATATATATATATATATATATATATATATATATATATATATATATATATAAGTCTTAACAAATTAAAACACAAAATTCTAATATTCTCAAGAATCTAACATTTCCAACAATCTAACATTCCTTAATGTAATCTGACATTTTGTGTACTAGGCGGCCTACAATCAATGAGACTAAAATATTTTACACACAAAAAATACTTGATGTATTATTTTTCTTTTTTGAGTAACCAAAGGAACAAACATGCATCCATTATTTGATTTGTGTAATGGATAAACCCGACTTATTATGATTTTATTTGACAATGGACCACAAGAATGTAAAACAATCTAACTTGTGATTATCAAGCTAACAGTCTGATCTACTTAACTGAGATTGTCTGCGATAATTACACTATTAAGTTTATATAAGAATGTTATTTGATGCGACTAGTCAAAGCTAGACTAACAAATATATGTGATAGTCCGTCAACGTAGTTGATGTGTAAGCTAGTCAAATTTGTTACCAGCTGCATTTCAATGTTTCCAAAAAAAAAAAAAAAAAAAAAAAAAAAAAAAAAAAAAACACATTGAAATTTATTTATTCAAACAAGATAGGTGGATTTACTAAAATCAATGAGACTAAAATATTTGACACACAAATAATGAATTAAAAAGAGTTAATTTCATTTTTGGTTGTAGATTTATAGATGGCAATCCATTTTAATTTATTTTTTATCAGAGCATTCACTTTTGGCTCTAGTATTATTGTGGCATGACCATTTTTGGTCTTTTATCTACAAAACAATTTAAATATCATTAAAAATAAGGACATTTCGGTCTTTAATTGTGAATTTTTTCAAAAAAAAAATTAAAAAAATATAACTTTCCTCAAATAAATAAATAAATAAATATATATATATATATATATATATATATATATATATATATATAGCAGACCCAACATTTGTCATTGTATGAATATGAACTAAACTAACACACTCTTAACTTTCAAAAAAACTAACACACTCTTGGATAGCAATTGAAAATAGTTTGCTTGTGCTGCAAATGAATTCCATTTTTCGGCTGTATTATAATCAAAGACTTTAACGTATTAATAAGGTAACAAAGAAAGTCTTTCTCAATTGCGGGGATAGCTCAGTTGGGAGAGCGTCAGACTGAAGATCTGAAGGTCACGTGTTCGATCCACGTTCACCGCAATTTTTGTCTTTCTTACTTTATAATGTAAAATATATTGGTCTTAGTATAATAAACTTTTAAGTGATTGCATACAACATGTATCCGTTGTCGTCCAGCGGTTAGGATATCTGGCTTTCACCCAGGAGACCCGGGTTCGATTCCCGGCAACGGAATTCCTTCTATTTTTTTTATCACTTTTCTCCTTTGAGATTTTAGTATTACACTCTAGGGAATTAAGGGGACCACGCAAAACTGCAATGACTCAGTGTTGAATGAAGACATGTAGTCACAAATAATATTCTTTGTGATTAAAAAAATAATTTGACATTATTGTATTGAATAACTGTGATCATTTTTTTTTTCACGAATAGTATAGTACTTGTGACAAGCAAGAAAGTATTTGTTACGAATAAGTTGTCACTAAATATATGTGCATTTTGGCGGCATTATAATTATGGCGGAAACGAATGTAATTGTGATAATATATAATGTGGACACAAATTTTTGTACTTATGTGACAAATAGTTGCTGGTCACTTTTGTTTATAATATTTGTGACAATTTTTTTTTTGTCAATAAAAATACGATTGGTTAGTACCATTAGAAATGAGAAACAATTGTGCGAAAAAAAATACTATTGTCACTAATATTGTCACTTTTTGTGATGAAATTGTTAAAAATATTTGTGACGCACTATAATTTCGTAACAAAAATTACTAAATTGTGACAATAATTGTGTTGATTTCAAGTTTTGTCACTAATTTATGATAATTGTTACGTGTAATTAGTTGTTACAATGACTTTGTCACTATAATATTTTTTTTTGAAAACCTCTTTGTATCAATATTTGCCACTAAAATTGCATCCAAGTTGGTGTCAAGTAATTTGGTGTGAAGTAGATATTAAATATTGTGGTCTCTTAAAATGCATATATTTAATGTCTCTTAAAATGAATATAATTGTGAAAATACTTTTTATAATCACTCATTTTTAAACTTTTTTTTTTTGTGACAAATAAGTTCACTATCACTTATTTTACTAATTTGTCACATCAAATCCTAGGGATTGCTTGTTCTGTGTTATGAATAAGAGCATGCATGGAGAAGATGGTAACAAAAGGAGGACTTCAAGATTAATTACTCCATCAGTCAAGCTTCATGAATATGTTTGTGGATAAAAATATTGCTATTAGTGGTCATGCATGCATGTTTGTTTCATTTGACTATTTCCTACTACATTTCCTTATGGTTGTTAGTAGTGCCGAATAAGTCTAGGACAATTAGGAAGTCGTTATTTGTAAATCCAATATTTATAGAGCATGAGAAATAAAATACAGGGCATTGCCCTTTGAATCAAAACTTCTCTGTCTGAACTCTAATTTGCCTGTCTCTCCCTCATTTTTCTTTTATGGAGGATTTCCACCCTCGAAAGTGGAAAAACAACCAAAACAATATTTACTTCCATAACAATTTGGTGCTTTCATTGAGAGTATCATGGCTAATGAAGGCGTACAAACTCGCCAACTAGCTTTAGAAGACCAGATACAACAGGTCCGGAAATCCCAACAACGAACGAAGGAGGGTCTCCGGCGAGCCTTGGCTCATCAATACCAAGCTCTTACTGCTGCCATCAATAATGCTATAGCAGACTTCACGGTCCGAATCACCCATCTCAATACACTACCTGCCGCATCGTCGTCTACCTCTCCGGGTGACGATCAAACCATGGTGAACCAAAACACAAATTTACCACAACCGCGGCCTCTTCGTTGCGACATGTCCACCTTTGATTGGAGCAACCCATTGGATTAGAAATTCCAAGCTGAGAAATATTTCAGTCTTTGGGATACTGCAGATTAAAATGGCCTTTCCTTCGGAATATTATGCTTAAATTGGGTTTTGATGCCCGGTGGGTTAGTCTCATCATGGAGTGTATTTCATCTGTGGAGTACTATCTCAACATCCAGACATTTTGGTCACAAAAATCTACAAAGTCAGATACTATTCTAACAGCTCTTTTCTGGATGCAAAACCAAGCACTAATCCCTCTTTCATATGGAGTAGTTTATGTGCAACGAAGGACATCATACGCAAACACTCTAGGTGGAGAATTGGTAATGGCAATGAAGTTCGAATTTGGGACAATAATTGGCTACCGGATAAATCAAACTCCAAGGTAACATCTTATCTCTTCCCTCTTATGGTGAATGCAAAAGTGGCTGACTTAATTGACATTTCCACTTCGAACTGGGATGAAGAAACTGTCAGAATTATTATGTTTAATTAGAGAGATGCTAACCTCATAATGAAGATTCCCCTGCCCAGATAATGAGAAATATTATTATCTGGAACAAGCAAGCCCTGGAATCTGCTAATCACACTGTCAGCAAGGCTCAAAACTATTACAAGAATGGGATTGAAGTCTATTTCTAATAGTGAACTAACAGAATTTTTAACAAAGGACTAAATTGTGGACTAAATTGTGTAAAATCATTAAAGTCTGAGGATTAAATTAAGCACAAAAAGTTATTTAGAACTAAATTGAGTAAAATCACTATAGTTAAGGACTATATTGGGTATTAACTCTAAAATATAACATTATAATACTCATATTACTGATAGTTGATATAATTTCAACTCAAGCACTAAGCTCATATAGAGTTAAGAGTCCAGATTGATTTCATTCTTTAGTTTTTACATGGTGTTAAAGTGAGTTTTTTATTTTTCAAATTTTTTCTCCTTGTAAATTTTTTATTAATTGTTGTACCGGCAAATTATTTGTGGACTCAATCCACCTTGCAATGTGGATCATGTTCAAAATACACAATTTACATATTGAATGTTTACAATTTTGTAAAAGATAAATTGTGAATATTTAGTATGTAAATTGTGAACATTTAATATATAAATTGCGTATTTTGAACTCTAATCCACCTTGCAATGTGGATCCTAGTTATGGTGTAATAATTGGTATTTTATCCTATTAGCCTCCAATTTTATCTCCATGTTGCCTTCATATGAATACATATTACTTAGAGTTGGGGTTCAGCCTTTTGGAAGAATGAATACATATTACTTTGGACTTTGGACATATTATACGTGGCAATTTATATCATGGACCAAAGTCCATATGATATTATGAATCCTAAATTAAAACGAGGTACAGAATTCATACATGTAAGGTACAAAATTTTGTAACACAATACGGTAAAATCACAACACAAGACACATAACATAACATAGTTATGGACATAGACGGAGCCAGAGGGGGGGGCAGGGGGGTCAGCTGCCCCCCCCCCCCCCCCCCCTCACCCCACCCCACCCCTACCCTATATTGTATATAATATGTATATATAGTACATTATTCATATAAGTATTATAAAACAGATTATGTAAACAAAAGTTGTGATAGACAAGGTGGTAGCTAATGTATATGAGCTTTGAAATGGCTTGGGTTTGAGTCTTTGTATTGACAAATGTTACAGTCTTCTTCACTTTTTTGATTAACACAATTAAATTTTGGCATGATATATATAACTTCCATTATAACTTTCTTTATATTAATAATGGAATGTGTAATTTATAATGTGTTTTATATTCGAATTGTTTTATCAAATTAATTATGTTTCATATTTTGTTATAAATATTTTTATAAAGTTTTAATATGTTTTATTTTTCGCTATATCCAACAATATTTATTGTTATACTTCTTTAAGTATTTCATTTTTTTTTAACTTTCTCTTTTATTTTAATTTTTTTCCCTCACTAAAAATTTATAATGTGTTTTATATTCGAATTGTTTTATCAAATTAATTATGTTTCATATTTTGTTATAAATATTTTTATAAAGTTTTAATATGTTTTATTTTTCGATATATCCAACAATATTTATTGTTATACTTCTTTAAGTATTTCATTTTTTTTTAACTTTCTCTTTTATTTTAATTTTTTTCCCTCACTAAAAAAAAAAAAAAAAAATTGAATCCGCCATTGAATCCATCCCTACTTCTTTGCCCCCCCTCAACATATTTTCTGGCTCCGTCCCTGGTTATGGACCCAACTGGATTGAAAGATGAGGTACAAAATTTCATAATACAAGACACAAAAAATCATAACATAAGATATATACACATGTTATATATTTACTTATTTTTCAAATCTGATTTAGGTACAAAATTTGTGTTCATAGATACAAAATTTCACAACACAAGAGACAAATTCATAACATAAGATTACAATTACTAATTTGTTTTAGGTACAGAATTCATACAAATACATAATTTCATAAAGCAAGATATAAAAAGTTACAATACAAAACACACACACATGAACTAGGGTTCCTCATCAGGGTGGGATTGACTATACCTTGATGATAATGTTTACTATAAGATAAGAACAACGAAATAAAATGACTAGAAAGAGTAATTTATTTCTTTTTTTTTTTTTTCTTTTTTGTTGGGTTAAACACTCAAACCTCTCATTAACACCGAAGCAAGAAAAATATACCATTAGCCTTGCAAAACTAAGGGTACAGCCCCCCTTTTCAACTAGAAAAGGCCTAGCAGGTCTAAACAAAGATACTCAAGCAAAATAAAATGCCTATAAGAGGCTAAGAATACAAAGCACAAAAACCAAGCAAATATAATAAGACCTAGGATAGGCCTAAGCACAAGGAAAACACAAAACTCAAGCCACCATAACAGATGCCAGCAACTGGAACCAGATGCACTACCCGAGTTCACGACAGTCCCCTTGAAAAAGCCGTCCACCAAAATGCCACCCATAAGATAGATATGAAATCAATGATTCGAAGGATAGATAGAGAGCTTAAATCCACGGCTATGTGCATTTCCCCTTTCATGTTTTAGAATTTCTATATCCCGGGCAGAGTTCACAGCCGCTTTATTGGTGTAAAATAATTCCAACAGCTCAAGGCTATGCACATCAGCAAAGTCAGACGGGACTGCTGTGAGGCCAGCACAGTGCCTGATGATGAGCGTTTTCAGCACCGGAAAGCAACTCTTGGAAGTCGTCCAATATGATAAATTGGTCCTTCCAATACGTAAGAATTTGAGACATCTGAAAACAACGTTTTTGAGTTCCCAAGACTCCCCCTTGAACGCATATTCCTCCAACTTGAGGACTTCCAGCTCGTTTAGTGCCCCCAGTACACACAAGTCCTTCCACTCAAATGAAGTGTTCGAAAAAGTCAGCTTTCTTAACCTTCTTGGGAATTTGTCAGCTCTAGGAACGCTCCGTAGAACGCTAGCCTGACCATAGACGGTATGTCCCAGCAACTTCAGATTTTCAAGATTCCTCAACTTTTGAAGATTGTCGAACAAACAAGTTCCTTTCTTGCTCTCCATAACCTCAACTATATTCCCTCGAATTCCCAGCTTCTGAAGATTCGGGGTCTTCTCTAGGATTTCGCCTGTGCAGCTTGCTGGGGATATGGTAGAAAGCGTCCTTATATGTGCACTTCCAGAGCTGTTTGTGCTTCTTCTAATTGGAGTGGGCAGATGGACTGGAGTATTACTGAGAACATGCCTTAGCTTTGGCATGCTCCATATGTCTGCCTCAATTTTAAGAGCACTTTGTGTGGTACTATGGAGTACAAGTGTCTGCAACTGGCAAAGACTTCCGAATTCCACTGGGAGGAGATTGAGATTGAAATGAACTGAGATCCCAAGGTAAGCAAGATGTTGCAGGCGATAAAACTCTTTAGGCACTGGCACTTCGACGGACCTGATATCCAACACCTTCAGATTTGGAAAGGCGTTGGGGATGGTTGCCAGTGGCGCTTTGGGAAACTCTAGTGTGTCCGAAGAGAAATATAAGAAAGACTGGACTTGTTCATCGATTGATGATGGCTTGATTATTTCTGATAAATCCTGCAAAACAGATGAATGCACCGAAAGGCGGCGATAACCTTTGGTGAATGTACTGTTTGACACTCCTCCAAGCACGTCAAATTCCCGGATGAAATTTTGTTTAGCAGCTTCACGTATGCAGATTGCATGCAACAATTCATGGATGCTCACCGTTTTAATTCTACCGTCTGCTCTTCTTTTAGATACAACGAGAAGATTCCTATGAACAAAATCATTTAGAAACTTCTCAGCGGTGTGTTCCAACTCCCCCTCTGGAATGAACCCTTCAGCCATCCACAAGCGAATCAACTTCCCAGCATCAATTTCAAGTCTCATAGGAAAAGCTGCAAGGTACAGGAAGCAATCTTTCAACTGAGAATCCATTAATTCCATGAGTAGTGGATTGTAGTGTTGATTCTCGTAATCTATGCTTGCAAATGGATCTTTTGCTATGCGTCCCCACTCGGCAAGTGTCCTATTTTCACGTAGGACAGGGGTGATCAGCACCACTGCAAGTGGCAGTCCATTACACTTTTTTGCTATGGACCTACCAATAGATTCAAGTGAAGCAAGACACCTTTCATCTCCAAAAACTTTCTTTTTTATCAACTCCCAACATTCAATATCTCTTAAAAACTTTAGTTGATGAGGGATACCAGTAGAATCAACATGTGAAGCCACACTACGGTATCGAGTAGTTACCAAGATTCTATTACCTTTTCTATTGTCCGGAAAAGCAATCTTCAAACACTCCCAATCATGCTTTGTACACACATCATCCAATACAATGAAGTACTTCCCACCCTCCAAAAAACTTTTTATTTGCTCAGCTAAGTTCTCGTCAGACATATCAGAGAAGTCTTTAATTCTCTTAGTGAAGTGGCTCAAAATGTCAAGAAATATTTGCTTTCGGTTACAAACTCTCGAAACATAAACCCAAAGGCGAGTGAAGAACTCATACTGAAGATCACCATCATTAAACAACATTTTGGCAAGTGTAGTTTTGCCAACTCCTACCATCCCCACAATTGAGATAACTGTCAATTTCATTGATTCTCTATAGAGACGGTCCTTTATAATTTTCACCTCATTATCAAATCCCACCACATTTTCTTCTTCTACCATTGGAGCCATCTTTATTAACTGTAAAAATAAGATCACGAAACAATCACGATAATTACAGTAAGATAACATTTTGAAATGTATTTAAAAAAAAAAAAAGATATGAACATGAAAACATAATAATAGAAAGTGTAAGATAATTACAGTTGGTGGTGGCAGAATAGAGGAGCTAGGGAGGTCGAATCCACTAGTGTTGACATTCTCCACGGCATGTGCCTTTTGCAAGAGAAAAAAAAATTATACAACAATATTAAAAGAGTAAAGTTCTAACCTGAATAATAAAGGGGAAAGATAAAAACATACCGTTGCAGGCGTTGCTTCTGATGGAAGAGAGGTGATGAAGAGGTCGAATCCTTTGGTTGTGGCATCTTTCTTACTTTGTCTTAGGTTATATACCTCTCTTGCGAAATGAACTGCCTTTTCACTGACATGATACATTTCAATGACTGTAAGGCTTTGTACATCAACAAAGGCATATGGGATTTCTTCTAAGTAAGAGCAATTTCTGAGGATTAGATTTTCTAAAACTGGAAAGTTATTCTTCTCAGCTTTCCATGTTACCAGATTCGTTCTTCCAATGCGTAGATACTGGAGTTGTTTGAAGACAACATTATTCTTTAGATTCCAAAGCTCCCCTATGAAGGCATTATGATCCAACTTGAGCACTTGAAGCTCCTCCAGCAATCCCAATATTATCATACCATTCCACTCAAACTGTGTGTTGGACAAGGTCAACTTTCTTAGCTTAGGAGGAAACATTTCTAGCTTTGGGACCTTTAGCATTTTGTCCGACTGGTCACTGAGCTTCAAGTTTTCAAGGACATCCAACATTTGAAGATTGTTGAACAAACAAATTCCTTGCATTTCTTCTAAAAGCTCTACTAAGTTCCCACAAACGCCCAATTTTTGGAGTTTGGGAGTCTTAATGAAAATCTCTTTCCTACAACTTGCTGGTGATATTGTAGAAAGCGTGCGGATGTCTGTATTTCTGTAGACACTTTTGCTTTCTTTTTGAGGGGATGGCAATTGAGTAGAAGTGTTAGTATGCACATGCCTTAGTTTTTCCATGTTCCATATGCCTCCATCAATTTCTAGTGTACTTTCATTGGTTTTAAATACAAGAGTTTGCAATTCACGAAGATTTTTGAATCTTTTGGGGAGGAATTTGATATTGGTTGTGATAGCAAGATATTTGAGAAGATAGAGGCTAAAGAGCTCATCAGGCAACGAGCTAAGCTTGAGGGATTCAATATCCAACACCCTAAGAAGAGGGAAGGCATTTGGGATGGTTCTTAATTGCTCTTGATTCAATTGAACCTCACTCTTTTCCAAGGATGACATCAACAAAGAATGGACATGTTCACCAGATGGATATGGACTCTTCTTTTTGCTGTAGTAATTGAGGAAATAACACGATGGATTCTTTTCCACATTAGATATGTCGGGAGTAGAGGAGTGGTAACAAAGACGACGAAGCGAAGTTGTATTCACATCTAATCTTTTTCCTCCATCCATTATGTGGAATAGATTCTTCTTCCCAGCCTCACTTTTGCAAAATTCATACAATGAGTCATGGATGCGACATGTTTTGATTTGACCATCTGCTCTTTTTTGCATTACTATCACAAGATTCCTACCAACAAGATCCTTCAAATAGTTCTCGGCTTCAACTTCCAAGTCCAAAGTGTATCCCCATTCGTCTATAGTCGGAATGAATTCTTCAGCAATCCACAAATGAATCAACTTCGAAGTAGCAATCTCATGTCCCATGGGAAAATATGCAAAATACAAGAAGCAATCTCTCAACTTCTCATGAGGCAAATGGTTATAACTCAACAATACAAGTTTGTGGTAGCTTTGGTCTTTTCGATTAATTTCAAGAAAAGGATTTTCAGCCACTCGTTTCCAGTCAGTATGACTTCTAGTTTTCCGTAGGATACCAGCCACCACCACTAGAGCAAGTGGTAATCCATTGCATCTTTTTGCTATTTCTTCCCCAAGAGTTTTCAATGAGTCATTACAACGTCCCTCTTTTCTAAAAATATTCATTTCCAGTATCCTCCAACTTACATCAGGGTCTAACGGTTCTAAAATATTGGGTTTCCCAATAGAATCAACCACATTATGGAATCGAGTGGTTACCAAGAGTCTGCTTCCTTGAGAGTTGTTAGGGAATGCAACTTTTAAAGAATCCAAATCCTTTTTTTCCCATATATCGTCCAATACAATTAAGTATCTTTTATCCTTTAAGAGATCCTTTATTCTTTTTTTCAACTGATCTTCATTTATCTTGCTAAAGTCCTCTGTACACTTGGTAATTTGATAAAGAATCTCGATGAACTTTTGTCTCCTATCAAAGCTTTGTGAAACATGAACCCAAATGGGATGTACGAATTTGTTGAGAATGTTGGGGTCTTTAAAGATCTGGTAAGCAAATGTAGTTTTTCCTGTTCCAGGAATCCCAACAATTGGGATGATAACAATATTGTTGGATGGTTCAGTGAGACGAGCCTTTATAGTCGTCAAATCATCTTCAAAGCCTATTACATAATCTTCCTCAACTATTGGTTGATCCTTAACAATCAAAATAATGATCATATAGTAATAATTATTTAAAGCCATACTAATCAAGTACTATGTGAGAAAATAAAGATTCAAAATCGCTCTCCAAAGATTCAACTACTTTGAAGTTTGAAGAGTTCTAGTTTTGCTACTTTTTAAATGTGATGCAATATCTATATTACTTGCATAATTAATCCGGTTTACATAAACTTTTTATATGTTATTTTTCATAGCGATATTAGATATTTTTGTTAACAAACTATTAAACAGAACATACATAGTACATTTATTTTCTATGCAGACCCAAGTTTAATTTTTCCTTCCAGTAAATCCAAATTGACAAATTATTCGGGATTTATAATTTTTAGAACCAAAGTTCAATATAAAATTAGATGGTTAAAAGCAAAACATGGGCAACCTACCTATCAATTCCAATATTGATGCAACCAATTATGATAAAGTAATTCAAAAAATGATGATAAGTTAGGAATGGTTTTTTGTGGTACCTGGAGAGGTTTCAGGCCACTGTTGTCTTGTGCATTGTTTTTGTAGCTCACAAGGGATACAAGGTCTTTTTCGTGGACTTGGAAAAGTGCATTCACCTTTGTTCTAATGGCCCGGATCTCATTCGCACAGACATTGGTATTTTCACAAACTGGAAATGGAATAAAATCTAAACATTTCGCCAGAGCATTGTCTTCATGCTTTTTGTTCAAAGCAATGTACTTGGCAACTGCATCCTGGGCTTCATTCACAACGGCCCGGAATTTTTTCACTACTACTTTCACAACTTGGAGTTGGTTGGCCCTTGGGTTCATGGAAGCATCCACGAGGCGGGCGTTAAACGTTTCAATGTCGGAGGTTAGATCCTGTATCGCAGAACCTATGCCACGAACCAGGTCTACATTGGCCGCTACAGTTTGGACCAGCTTGTATACTGCCTTGGAAGCCACATCCTCTACCACATTGTCCAACACTCTCACCATTGCTCTCTGTCTGTCTCTCTCCCTACTGTCAAGAAACATGAAATGCAAATACTAATTTTTTATGGGTGCCCATTCTACAGGATATACAGAGTGTTATATATAGGCCCTCTTTGGTAAAAAAAATTGGCCTATAGGTCAATTTTGGTTTATTTGACCACTATTAATTGTTTCATCTAGTTAAAATATCAATATAAATGTTTGGTTAATTAGCTTTTTGCAACTTCAAAAGGCTAAAATTCAAAAAGCTACTCCAAATAACTTTTTCAATTAGCTTTTTGAGAAAAGAAATTATACCAAACATTTTTCTACAATCAGCTAACAGCTAATTTACCAAACATTTTTCTACAATCAGCTAATGTTATCAACTATTTATACCCTCTAATTAACACAATCAACTATCAGCTATTTTACCAAATAGGGCCATAATGCATAAATTAATGGCAAGTGTGAACATTTTCATTTTTGTAGTGTAAAGTGGATCAAAATATACTTCTTGAGAGTAGGGTTTCCAACCCGTTTTAACCCCTGCACCAGACCCGTCAGGGACTTGAAATTGAAATTTTTTCCATTTCCGTCTTCATGGGATTATGCCAATATAATGGAATTTTTCAATGATCTTTACTACCAACTAAGCTCACCATACAGAACTAGCTTACATCTTACAAGAATTCACGAGAGATTGGTATAATTTACATTACCATTAAACAAAACAACTGATGAAAAGCGCAGTGACATGAAAACTTTTCGAGAGTCTCACTGGCCACCAACATATCTCGATTGCCCCTCATAGAAACACCGGCCCTATCTTTACTACCAACTAAACTCATCATACAGAACTAGAGGACATAGTGAAGAAAAAGGGAGAGTGGCGAAGAGAAAGAGATAAAAGAATGAATGGTGGTGGGAATGAGAGAATTAGAGGACATAGTGAGACTGTGAGAGGGATTAAACTGCAAATCAGGATAAGGATAGAACAAAGAAATGTATTAAAAATAGGTTGAAAGGTCAAATTAACCTATGTACTAATATTGATGGTTCATCTAGCATCATGAATTAAAAGAGTTTTTTACACTTTTAGTCACACGATTATAGTGACACTGGCAGAATTGATCCACGACTTTTGAACCTTGCAATTTTAGTCCACGACTATTGATTCTTTTGCAAAAATGGTCCTTCCGGCCACTTTTCCGTCAAAATTTCACCGGAAAAAAAAAATTCTCTATTTTTAGTCGGGTTAAAATTGACATTTTACTTATCTCAAAAAATTAAAAGAAAAAATTGATATTTGGCTATATACAATATTACTGGGCTACATACTACTGCCCCAGGCAGCGGAGTACATGTACCACTCCAATGCTGCTGCCGGATAACCCAACTAACCCGGGAAACGCCACGGCCACTCCGCCGCTTACTGACAGCCCTGCCTGCTCCAGGAACTCCGCCGCCTGGGGCAGTAGTATATATTGTATGTAGTCAAATATCAATTTTTTTCTTTTAATTTTTTGAGACAAGTAAAATGGCAATTTTAACCCGGGGCTAAAAATGGAAATTTTTTTCCGGTGAAATTTTGACGGAAAAGTGGCCGGAAGGACCATTTTTGCAAAAAAATCAATAGTCGTGAACTAAAATTGCAAGGTTCAAAAGTCGTGGATCAATTCTGCCAGTACCACTATAGTCGTGGGACTAAAAGTGCAAAAAACTCTGAACTAAAATATGGTTCATCTAAATCATTATATTCTTAATTATTTTTCATATAGCATTTTTAGTAAATTTCTAACAAGTAACCCATCTAATTTGCTTAAATAGAAAAATAAAATAAAAATAAAATGCTGATATGTTATTTTTTCATCTAACTTGCTATTTTTGTTATTTTTTCGACAGAAAAATTTAATATTTTTTTTAACATATTTTCAGATTATGTTGATTTTTTTTACGAAACTTTCAGATCTTTAGCAAAAAAATATGATTTTAAATGTAAGGAAATTATTATACCTCTCCTTCGTCCTTTGTCCTTCTCCCTCATACATAGGGATGACCACGGTTTCGGTTTCAATTCAGTTCCAATTCAAAATTGTCAGTTTTGATTTCGAAAATAGACGAATCGGAACCGAACCTTATATAAAGGTTTCGGTTCCGGTTAGAACCGGCCGTGAATTTTATTTTTTTTTAATTAAGGTTTTGTTTTAAAGGCCTAGCTTTGCCGCCTCTGCGCCAATCTACTCTACTAGTCTACTGGCAGTGGGCTGCCTAAATGAGGATAGGAATAAATAATTAAGGAATAAGGGTCAAATAGGCCATCGAACTGCACATGATAATATAATTAGGCCACTGAACCCAAAAAATCAACAATTGAGTCCCTAAACTAACCAATTCCTAACAATTCATCTAATTTGAAGGTTTCTAACAGGTCAACAACTAAATTAATTATTTTTTAAAAAATAAAATTTAAAAATTAATTAGTAAAAAAAAAAAAAAAAACAGAAACACGGAGACGAAGAAACTTCTTCGTCTCCGGCCTGTTTCTTCGTCTCCGGCCATGGGGACGAAGAAGGTTTCTTCGTCCCCATGGCGGGAGACGAAGAAACTCTTCGTCTCCGGCCGTGGAGACGAAGAGTTTCTTCGTCTCCGGCAATGGAGACGAAGAGTTTCTTCGTCTCCAGCCATGGAGAAGAAGAAACTCTTCGTCTCCATGGCCGGAGACGAAGGCCGTGGAGAGCCGGAGACGAAGAAGTTTCTTCGTCTCCGGCCGTTTCTCTTTTTTTTTTTTTTTTTAATTACTTAAATAATTAATTTTTAAATTTTATTTTTTAAAAAATAATTAATTTGGGAGGATGACCTGTTAACCTGTTGGAAACCTACAAATTGAAAGATTTATTTGAAATTGGTTAGTTTAGGGACCCGATTGTTGATTTTTTAGGTTCAGTGGCCTAATTGCATTATCTTGTGCAGTTCGATGGCCTATTTGACCCTTATTCCAATAATTAAATATGACCGTTAGAAAGTGAGACATGAGGATAGGGTCATAGGGATGATGAATATTAAATATATGACCATCATCCCTCCGCCTGACATTTACTGGCCACACTACCACAAGCCAGCCTTGCCCTTTTATGTTAAGGTTTTGTTTTAAAGGCCAGGCGTGGCCAGTGGCCTGCAGGCCTTTTTTATTTTTTAACGGTTCTGGAACCACAATCGGCGGTTCCGAACCTGAACCGACGGTTCCGAACCTGAACCGACGGTTCCGGTTTTAGAATTTTGGAAATCGAAACCAGAATCTTATTGGTTCCGGTTAGGAACCGGAATTGGAGTCGTACGGATGGTTTGATTCCGATTTCGGTTATACAGTAAACAATTTCGGATCGAATCGAACCGTAGTCACCCCTACTTATACATGGTTCCTAGCTTCTACCTTTGCTTTTTTTTTTCCCCCAAAGATCCCCCTTTCAGTCATAAACATCAACAAATATTATACTTCTCATCATACTTTAATGCAAATCATGTAACAACATATGTCATGATGCTATATAAGTGTGTGTGTGTGTGTGTGTGTGTGTGTGTGTGTGTGTGTGTGTGTATATATATATATATATATATATATATATATATATATATATATATATATATACTCTCACTCTTATGTAAAAAAAAAAAAACTTTTTCTGTGGAGGTGTCTGTTAAGTCAATTTCTCTTCTTTCTCTTGAGTTTCTTGACTCCCTTTTCGCTTCTTTCACTTTCTTTCTTTCTTACTTTTTGTTGAGTCACATTGACTCGCTTTTCTCTTCTTTCACTTTCTTTCTTTTTTACTTTCTGTTGAGTCACATTGACTCGCTTTTCTCTTCTTTCTTTCTTTCTTTCTTTCTTTCTTACTTTCTGTTGAGTCACATTGACTCGCTTTTCTCTTCTTTCTTTCTTTCTCATGAATCTCTTTACTCTCCTTTCTCAATTTTTCTCTTTGTGCGAGGCAGGTACTCCGCCGTAGTGAAGCCCTAGCGAACAATGCAACTCTTGCAACCGCCACATCCGTATCAACGGAACCTCAATCTCGTGGGGGATGTAAGAACTTCACGAATCGTGAATGGTCCTATCCGGCTCGGCAATCTAGCCGGCCTCATACTCAACTCGCCTACAGAACCGGTACTGGTGGTTATTTAATCTTTCTTTCTTTCTTTCTATCTCTGTGGAATCAGGTATCGTACTTTCAGTGTGCACACCCCCTAACCAGGATTCCAAGTCTGGCGGGTAGTCTCCAACCTAGTAACTCGGGAATATCGACCTCGTTACTTCTAAATATCTGTCGGTTCACATTGACCGTTTCTTTCCTTTCTCAAACTTTCTTTCTTTCTCTTTTCTTTCGAAAGGACATAGTCCTAACGGTCCTCCAAAATACTATTTTCCCCACAATAGATAGCATATAATATATCTCATTCAACTTCTTTCTCGTGCAACAACTCTAACCTATGCAAGCTCATGCACATAAATCTCAACAACTTCTCTTTCTCGCATTTTGGAAATCAGATATCATGCAATCTAATTCTCAATGCAAATAGATAGAGATTTTCCAAAATAGATATAGGTTTTGAAAATAGCTTAAAGCTTCACTTTGAGCCTTTACTGTACTTAGTCTTTAAAAGTGGCAAAATGCCCTTTTTGAATGCAAGTTTGTAAAACAGTGACTTATGCAAGAAAGCTCAATAATCTCAACAATTCTACTATCCATGAGCTAAGCAATGCAATTAGAACATTTAGTCAAATAATTCTTCTAAGCAAATGCTAATATGATATTTCATAACTTGAACTCATAAGCTAAACAAACTCAATGATCAATTCCATGCTTTGTTTACTAACATGCTCTTTACTCTGAAATGGAAATATGCACTGCTTTATACTAAAATCTCAACACTTAGCAAATCTTCTCAATAAATATTAAACAAGTATTGATCATGCTTCTTAACTCAAAACATACTAAAAAACTAGCAATTTCATTCACTGTGTATCAAGGGAAATATGCACTGCTCATTGCCAAATTCTCAAATTCTTAGTAAAGCTTCTCAACAAATTCTATCAAGTATCTAGGCATGTTTCAAAATCAAAAATATACTCAGATGCTTCAAACTCATTTACTAATATTCAAAAGCTATAGTTCCATATGCTGAAGAGGTTCACAGACAACAACAACAACAACAGAGAAAACAAATCTCACATTTCTAACTGTAGATCATGCATTCTAACTCCAAAAATAACGAAACTAACTTCTACTAGTGCGTCGTAACGAGCCCGAGTGTCCGAGCCTCAAGGGCCCAAGAGTCCCGGCCCGAACAACGCGTAGCTGAGCATAGAGGGCCCGACCAGTAACAACGTAACTTTGGCCTGGCAGAGCTTGGTGACGGGGCTTGGGAAGCCCTACCACTTGGCTCCGCCAAGCTGCGGTGCAAGGCAACGGATCCTGCCATGGTCCGCTGCCTTGGTCCGTTACTCAACGGAGCTGGCCAACGGCCCATGCTGGGGTCCGTTGGTTGGCTCTGTTGGGTGATCTGGTGCACCATATGTGTGCACCAGACACCTTCTTCTTCACCTGTAAACAAAAACTAGATGCAATCCAACACTTCCAAACCTCAATAAATCAATCATAGATCAACAACAACATTTATCTAACATTTGTATACATCTATTTCTCATTCTAGCAATTCACAGAGTCAAAATATAGCTTGGGAGTCCATGGTTTATACCTTAGCTTCTTCTTCTTGTGTGGATCCCTTCTTCCTCTCTACTCAACTTCCACCACCTTCACTTCCTAAACTCCTCAAACAAACCACGCAAACAACACATAAAGAAGGAACTCAGAGATTGGAGGCAAAAGAGATGAAAACCTAGAAGAAAAATGAGATGAATGGATGAGGTGAAAGCTGAGAAACCT